GCAGACAGACATACAGCCGCTTCCAGACTCTGGAACTGGAGAAAGAATTCCTCTTTAACCCTTACCTCACCAGGAAGAGGAGAATTGAGGTGTCCCATGCACTAGGACTGTCTGAGAGACAGGTCAAAATCTGGTTTCAGAACAGGAGGATGAAATGGAAAAAGGAGAATAACAAGGACAAGTTCCCCATCGCCTCCCAGGATGGGAAGGAGGAAGGTGAAACCAGGAAAGTAGAGAGTAACGTGGAGGAGGAAGACAGGGACAATACTAACTGATTGCAGCACTGCACAGCTTAGACTGCGCCATCACAGAGCTCCAATAACAGGGAGAACCAGTGTCTGAAAATACCTAACCCAGCTGACCAACTGCTGGCTCACCGATTGCCTTGGACTACAACTCACATCATGTCCAGCCAGTGCTAAGGACTACCAGTCCTGAACTAATCTGCACAAAATAGGACTTGCATAGACAAGGACTATGTGCATAGACAAGGACAGTGTTACTACGTTTGTGTTGTGTGCATTTGTATATTTGTGTGTGTGCTTTATGTATGCATGTAATTTGTGTGTATGATGTGTGTGTGCTATAATTGTGTGTGTGTGTTTATGTATGTGCATTATTTGAGTGTGTGTCGTATTTGTGTGTGTGTGTGTGTGTGTGTGTGTCTATGCTGTATGCAAATAGGTCAGTGTATATGTCTGTTCACTGTTCACAAAGAGAACAAAAAGATGTTTGAAAAAAATGCAATTATATAATTTTTTTGTTATTGCTCATACACTTGAAGTGTGAGTGAAAGTGTCTGCCTGTGGTTATGATGCATAAGATAAAATATATAAATATGGTTTATATATATATATATATATATATATATATATATATATATATATATATATACACACACACACACATATATATATATATATACACACACACACACACATATATATACACACACACATATATATACACACACACATAAATATACACACATATATATATATATATATATATATATATATATATACATACACACACACACATACATAAACCATATTTCTGTTGGTGTGTATGCATGTTACTAAAGCCCTATTTAAACAATAGGTGTTGTAAAAAAAAATTGAAAAGCTCCCTTCCCTATACATATATAATTTTCATATGATTATATTACGACGCGTATCTAATGATTCAATAAATTAAAATAAACACCCACGTTTTCTTTTCTTTTCAATTTATTAAATCATTAATATGCCGGTCAAGCCTTAAAAATATTCAGGTATTTTCCAAAGGTCTTTCTTTGTAATAGAAAAAAATAAATCCAATTTTTTTAATGTAATTCAATCGATTACATTTTTTCTAGATCAAGCTAGATTTTTTGTTTTAGGACACACGTCAGTGGTATTTATTAAAAGAAATAGTATTTTCGTAACTACTAAATTCGTAGATGTTTTTTGACTATGCAGCAAGTATATATATAAATATATTTTCCTTCTATCTAATTTATAGAAAATTTCGATAATTGTACCCATCAGCACTTCAAAAATCTGAAACGAAGGCACGCTAAATCTGAAAAGTTTGTATATATGTATCTTTAAGGCGTACTTATAATTACACACAAGCACATAATATACATATTTTTAAATCTTAATTTTAATTTATGTTTGTAACGATTAAGCTGATTTTTTTCACCGTATTTATTTGTTAATTTGATTTTTCTGTACAATGAAGGGATATAAAAACAATCAATTTGCTATGAAATTATTTGAAATATATTCAGGTTACGCGATAAACTGCACTTTTAAATACATATGTCTTATGTGTCTTTAAAAAAAACAGTGAAAATAAATATATTTTACCTTGATTTTTTTGTAGTAATACAAATTTTTCACCAATTAATTAAGTGTAATCATTTTTTCAACGTATTTGCCTTAAACAGCTGAAATTAATTTTACTTTTGGATAATATGTATCTATGTATATTTAATAAACAAATACTATGTAAATGCCAAATAAAAAAAAAAATGTGCTATTTTAATGGCTTGGGGAGATTGTTTGGGCCTTCTGAAGGACTGGGAGGTGGAATAAACATTTTACTCGACTATTTTCTGTAAGTATGTTGCAAGATCATGTGTCAGACATTTCTAGAAAACTCTCACGGGTCAGATGTGTTCAAAGACATCCTAAAAGGAAACAAGCCAGTCCTGTCCCCTGTTGCTGTGAAAGCAGGAGAATTGCAGATCAATATGAGAGAGGCTCACATTACTGTGATTTTATAACGGGTAATCCAACTATATTGTCACCAACAATGTTTTACTGGCTGGGTGTGTTCACATACCATCCAGAAATACAAAGACAATACAGGATGCACCCAGGTAATAAAATGGCCCCTGAGAGTCTGTGCTACTCTTATATTGTGTTTATATGGCCCTCTCTGCAATATAATGGGGGAAAGTGTGTGTGTGTGCATGTGTGTGTATGCACACACCCAGTTGTTTTTATATCTAGAGAGAGAGACATATACATTTACCAAAAAAACATGCATACACACACACACACACACACACATTTTGTGCATTATGTCTGCACATAATAATTATACACATTCTTTTGTTTATATATAGATAGATAGATAGATAAACAAAAATTATTATCTACATGCCCCCCCCATAAGTTATACGTTTATAGCCTCTTTGTCTGTATCAAACTCACACACTTATGCATAAATATGTTTAAATATTACACAAACACGAAATACTCTAATATAGTATTGCTCTTTGAAGAAATGTATCTGTCTGATAAACTGTCGTAAATGCAGAGGATAGACAAACAGACACAATTCTCCTTTTACATGTGAGATGAAGCTTTATAAATTAAATGAAAATGCAGTAGATTTATTATTATTATTGCCATTGATATAGCGCTAACAGATTCAGTAGCGTTTTACAATATTATGACTATAACTATTATGTACCGTTTGTTACACAGACACTAGCTTTCTATCAATAAAACTTTAAGTATATATTTCATATAAGAGCCGTACTACACATACACTCCCAAACTATATCCAGAACGCAGAGAGGTGTGGATAACCTGTGTGCAAACTGTAGGCCAAAAGCAGGAGAGGTATCAAAAATCTCCGATGTTTTCTTTAAAAACTCTGGGATTTGGCCTGTATTTTGCTTGTTCAATTCTATCTAAAACCATGGCAGAAAAATATCTTCCAGTTTAAAGCTAACACCGTCACTGCTTATAAAATAAACTCGATTTTCACATAGGTATAGTCTGTTATCCGTGTGGCTCTGCAAATATTACATAACTATATAAAGTACCCCTGTGTATGTGTATACATGGTATGAGTGCAAATTATATCATGTAAATACACAAACCATACACACACACACACACACACATATATATTTAAACTATTATGTTCTTTAATATATATGTATGTAAGTGTGTGTGCATATATTTTAATTATGAAATTATTTCAAATATATAATGAATAAAATATATGCACACATACACACAGATATTCATAATAAAGAACGTAATAATTAAAATAAATAAACAAACAAATACATAAATAAATAAAATACACACCCACACATGTATTAAATAGAAACATGTTATTCTCCCCCTGAATTGAAAATAGAATTTTGTATAGGTCTTAAGAGCATTTAGTTATTTTTTTTATGGAGGTAAAAAAAATAAAAAATTAAATAAAAATAAATCTCTTTCTCTCTCTCTCTCTCTCTGTAATGTTTTTCATACATTTTATCCACAGTTGCTATGTGGATTTAATATATGTGTGGTTTAACACTCTTTAATTACAACCCACCAATTTATTATTACTCTTGCAAGTACTGCTCGATTTAACAAGATCAAATCCCAACAAACTATAACTTAATAGGCATTTTATTTATTTCCCTCCCTGTCCCTTACTGTAATAATCCCCCTATTTTATCATGTGTTTGAGCATGGATTAAACTACTCACACAGACACTTATTTTTCTAAATCTATAAAAGATTATAACGCTGGCTTAAACCAGCCAGAGGAGAAGGGGGAGAAAAAAAAAATGGCGCTTGTTGGCAATATGAACAAAATCCGCAAGGAATTGCAGTAAATTCCTTTTTTTGTTTGAAGAAAATTTACAACTTTGTAATAGACCTTTTTATGACCTTTCCGGGCTCGCCATTGGCTGCTGCTGGTCACGTGTTCCCTGTGATATCTTTCATGGCCTTTTCCCTGAGTTCCCTTGTGATTTTTTTTTTGCCTGCATTCTGCCTTTAGAGAGTCTCAAACCTTCTTTTTCTAACCTTTGTCTCCGATGAGGTGTAGTTAGTATTAAGATCTTGTACTGATTTTTTTTATTATTATTGTTATTATTTTTGTTGTTGTTACAAGCCTTCTGTTGCTTTCTTTTTTTTTTGTTCATGCCTTTTGCCTAAGTCACTGTATCCCTTGGAGCAGCTCAGTCTGAACTCTCTTCTATAACGAGAAGGGCTGCTCTGGATTCAGATCTAGAAGACATTATTTTTAGAACACTCTAGTTCGGTCTTGTTGCTAAGTCTTTCTTTTTTTTTAAATATATATTTATAATATATTTTATATATTTATAGTAAGTATAAACATGGCTATTGGATTACAGCTCCAGTATATTTTCTCCAACGGTGGACTCCAACGGTAAGTGATTCTCTTGATTACTTACAGCTATTCAAAGGTCTATAAAAAAAATAATCTATTATTTCTATCTGTTACTGAAGTATTGTAGAATATACAGGAAATTTTTTTTTTATCTTGGTTAAAGAAAAACGTTAATAGTAGATTATAGAAATGAGAATAGCTGAACATATTTACTTGAGTAATGGACTTTCATTTTGTGTTAAATGAATGCTGAGGTTATTGGAATTTACAATAGTTGGATAATAACACTTTAATGTGTAAGTATATGCAATATATTGTATGTTGGTTTATGTGTGTGTGTGCAAACTTTATGTGTATCTATGTATGTATCTCTATGTATGCATGTCTTTCTGTCTATCTATCTCTATTTATCTATCTGTCTGTCTATCTATCTATCTATATATCGTACTAGAGAGATAGATAGAGAGAGATAGATCGATAGATAGACAGACAGACAGACAGATAGATAGATAGATAGATAGATAGATAGATAGAGATAGATAGAGATAGATAGAGATAGATAGATAGATAGATAGATAGATAGATAGATAGATAAACAGAGAGACAGACAGACAGATAGATAGATAGATAGATAGATAGATAGATATCTCTCTGTTTGTATTTTTGTCATACTTATAAGACATAATAGTTGGTCAGATATATATATATATTGAATCACACTGTAAGATAGTGTAAGTCCTTTTACTCACATTGTTAATTTCATTTGCTCTATGTTAGGTTTTACATTTTTATTAACCATTAATGTTGATCTGCATATGGGATCCATACAATAATTGATAAAGTGATTAATTTAGAAATGCTCTGGATGATCCTTCCAAGTTATTTGTGAAAGCTGAACTTGCTGTGTGTTTGTCTGCTGGAGTGGTTGTTTGTTTTCTATTATACTGGTTATCTGAAACATTCTGATCCAGAGCTGGTGTTGATACATAGTAGCTCCACGTTATGTGAGTGTGATAAGGTTAAATAGTATGCATTGTGTGAATTAAGTCTCATAACACATACAGACATTCTGCATACATACATGTGTGCTATGTATTACCACATGATGACAATAATGTATCACCAAAAGTCTAAAAATGTAGCAATAGCAATTGACAGGGCTCATTAATACATTCTATCTATCTATCTATCTATCTCATATATTTATTTTCTATAATTGAAACTCAAAAATCCTTGTACAAATATATTGTGGGACGAGAATATATTTTATGCAGGTTTAGTGCTCATCAAATGTTGGCAGCCATGTTTCCCCACCACACACAGAGAATATTTGAAGATTATACATTTCTTTATCATAATCACACTTGTGTTTTGTGCTCTCTTCTCTGATTTGTATATTATGATCATATACAATAAATCTGCTATACAAACCCCATGTTAGGCACACACATACTGTACATATGTGTGTGTGTGTGATTATATATGTTTTGCTATTGGGCGTCTTATGTTGTGCTGCAGGAAAGACATCAGAACAAAGAAAGTATTTCAGGCTGGTTTGTCTGACAGCTGGAAAATATATTTACTGTCCGGTCCCCCCACTCCCCCCCACTCCTCCCTGCACTGCGGCAATGCACACACTCACATATACACCGAAATTTACACACACAAACATATACACACACACATACATAAACACAGACATATATACAGACACACACATACATACATAAACACACACACATATACACATAGACAGATATACCACACAAAGATATATACACTGACATGTACTCACAAATACACACCACACACATATATGCACATATACATGCAAACACAGGTATACACACTGATATATATATATATATATATATATATACACACACACACAGATACACACAGCTGGGACATGATGGCAGGAAACAGTGGAAGTTCAGGAGAAAATGAAGCATTTCACTTATACAAATGCAAATTAGAATGTAGGTGCAATAGGCAATAAACTATGTCTGGAAATAACTGACCACAGTCTCCCACCAGAAACATACATTGACCTGGTTGGGAAGATTCAAGGAAAAGGCATTACGAAAGCTGGTAACAAGTCACCATTTACAGAGAGGCTTTATGGCAGGATGGAGGAGGGGGAGAGGGCCACCATTAAATGACCTTCATTTATCAACTGTGTGTGGATGTACTGTGTGTGTATACAATGTGTGAATACTGTGTGTGTTTATATATATATATATATATATATATATTGTGTGTGTGTGTGTATATTGTGTGTGTATATATATAAATTGTGTGCGTATACTGTGTGTATAAACGGTGTGTGTAAACTGTGTGTTTACATTGTGTGTGTGTATGTATATATAATTTATACACGCAGTATACAGTATACACACACAGTATATATACACACAGTATATATATATATATATATATATATATATATATTTATTTATTTATTTATTCTGTGTGTGTATACTGTGTGTATAAACGGTGTGTGTATAGTGTGCTTACTGTTTGTGTATATACTGTGTGTGTGTGTGTGTATATACTGTGTCTGCATACTGCATTAAAGAGAAGTTTGTATACAGACAAACTGATAACTGTTATAGTAATCGCATAGAATAAAACAAAAAAAGTATTGCTGGATACAGACAAAGAGACACAACAAACAAAAGACAGTAACTATTTCAGAGTTAAATAAAATGATTGCATAAACAGACAAATACATAGATAGATAGAGAGAGAGAGAGAGAGAGAAACAATGGAACAGGAAAACTATGGAAAAAGAGGCAAAAATAGCTGGATAGAAAAACAGACAAAACTAATGAAAAAGACAGAAAAAAAAAATAAACACCCAAACGTCAGCTAAAAAGCTAGGTATAAAAAAATGGTAAAATAGATACAGACAAATTAAATGCAGACAGAGGATAGATAGGATAGAAGATTGATTGACAGACAGACAGACAGACAGACAGATAGATAGATAGATAGATAGATAGATCGATCGATCGATCGATCGATAGATAAATAGATAGATAGATATAGAGGTAGATAGATTGATAGATAGATAGATAGACAGATAGATATAGAGGTAGATAGATATAGAGATAGATAGATAATAGATAGATATATATAGAGATAGATAATAGATAGATAGATAGATAGAAAGAAATAGGGATAGATAGATAGATAGATAGAAAGAAAGAGGGATAGATAGAGAGATAGATAGAGATATACACAATTAAACAGGGAGACTAACTAAAAGAAAAAAATGATCAATAAACAGGTGTACATAAAAAAGCAAAAATACATTTAAATAGACAACAATCTAGATGGGAGAAAGGCAGGTAATACCACACAGAAAGGGTAAGTGACTTGTAGACAGATCACTATATCCTATCTGTTCCTCGGTGTCTCCATTGGAGCCTGGCTGTTGGATTCATGTGAGGGGATTGGGGAACAATAGATAATGTGAGAAGTGGTTGAATTGTTTTATTTTTGGATGTTTTTATTAATGTCAGAAGGTGTAAAGCCTGTTCCTTTGTTCAGTATTATCAAGTAATGATGTAACTGGGTTTCCTTTTAAGTAAGCAGATTCCATTTCCTTCCAACATGTGTTTGGATCACTGCTGTGATATTGCACCATATCTGCTCCATCAAAGGATTATAGAATTCACCACAGTCACTGTAATATATCATGGCCAAGTTTCTAGGTATCCCTGAGTCAGAAGATGTGTGGGGCCCATCTTCTAACACAACTGACAGATTTCTGTGTTCTTACACAAAGTAACACAAAACATATTTTCACATGTTTTTCTAACAAGTTAAAATGATGTAAGATTACTAAAAATGATGTGTTACATTTGCATACGTCTTATTTTTTTTTATTTTAATTGAAACCAATGATACATTGATTGATGTGAGACATCTAAATATACATAAAAAAACAAATATATTTGTCTGTTTGTCTAGCTATCCCTCCATCCATCCATAAATCCATCCACCCACTCACCTAAACACCCACTCTTTCTATCTATCTATCTATCTATCTATCTATCTATCCACTATCTATCTATCTATGCATGATCTATCTATCCATCCATCCATCTATCTATCCATCTATCTATCCACCATCCATCCATTGTCTATCTATCTATCTATCTATCTATGCATGATCGATCGATCTATCTATCTATCTATCTATCTATCTATGCATGATCTATCTATCTATCTATCTATCTATCTATCATCTATCTATCCACCATCCATTGTCTATCTATCTATGCATGATCTATCTATCTATCTATCTCCTATCTATCTATATCCTATCTGTCTATCTATCTATCTATCTATCTAGCTATCTATCTCTTTATCTATCTCTATATCTATCTGTCTGTCTATCTATCTATCTATCCACCCATTCATCTATCTATCCATTGACACAACTCACAACTGTAATGTCTTGCACAGAATTCCACGATCTTATCCCTTACATATGTAATTTCCTGGCCCTAGTCCTACAGATAAGTCCCTAGAAATCTAGTATGTACACATTCATGTACGTAAAATGTGTTAAATCTGTCCTCCCCCCTGTAAACATGATTGAAATCAAGTATTTCTTAACCTACTCTATCTGCTTCTGTGTTAATACACGTGTTACTCTCTTTTCTTACTAGGGAGTTTGTTAGTGTTATCCTTTTAAGTGATTATATATATTATCAATTTGAATAGTTTTTGTGTTTTTTGACAGATTATTTAATTTTTTAAAGGTGTAGCATTCATAAAGGATACAAATTATATCAAACACCATATTAGAAACAACTGAACAATAAACATATCAACCATAATAGACTCTGTTAAAAAAGGAGGATTTTTTTTTTATTCAGAATTTTACTTGCAGTATAAGGGTTTAAACAAGGTAACTGCTTTATCAAAGATAATGTTATAACATAAGTGAAATTCCTGTTCGATTAATGTTTGTAAGCTGGTTTGGGCCCTTTTCACCTACTGTTCTCTTATGTCGAACGTGTTTTGTTAGAATTTATTCTTGTATTGGTTTATCTGTTGTACAGCGCTGCAGAATATGTTGGCACTATATAAATTATTGTAATTGTAAAATATCTCTTTATGTCCTCAGATATTATAATTTATTTATAATGGCACATAGAAACATAAAACCAATTGTGTGGGTACATACAATTTAAACACCAAGCCTTGTGCTCTGTTAGTTGCAAGGTCTCTCACACTCGGTTGTTTAATGCATCCAGTATGAGAATAATATGAAAAACTGGCGTCTGTGTATTGGAACCAGTCTATAGCGTGTAGCATAGAAAATTCTATTGTTAGGGTGTAGTACAGAACTGGTAAGCCCCTCCTCCTCATAGCCATTGGTCAGTAAAATGCTGCATAGATTCACTTATAGTATAGTCCTCTCTATGTACCTAGCTACATCTTCATAGCACATTATTGACTGCAGGCAAATCCATGCTTTGTTTCCAGAGGTAC